AGACCTTGCGTGAGTGTCACATAAAAAACAGGGAATAAATGAGATTCCGCTTCGTCTCTGTCATCATCAGCGTGAGCCGTGCTGTTAATAGCTAGGATTAGCAGAACCCTTGCAGAAGAAATTGCTGGCCGCATTGCGAGAATAACAATTACATCCGCCTGTCATCTGGGTCAAGGCATGTTGGATGATGACAGTCATCCGTTGCACCCAAAGTCTCAACACGCACTGTCCGTGCATCAGGGCAGCCGCAGCCGGTTCAACGCTTATCCAGCTCGGTCAGAGCTGTAACCCGCGGTTCATTCTACCTTTTCTAGCAAGGACTCTGAGACAGCCAGAGCTGCAAGAACAATTGCTTGTAGATAATATTCTGATTTGAAATTAATATTTTGGGCATATACAATTCATGGACCTGTTCAATGTAAGAGTAACGGATCCGCTTATGCTGACAGAAACAATCATTGCACAAGCCAATAAACTTGACTCGATCATTATATTAATACCGCTAGGAGCAAGAAGACCAAAGAAGAAGGTCGGCCACAGTAATAATCCCTTCCTTAATGGCGACATTCGCCCATTTTAAAATTACCACTTTGCCAGCGGGCTCATAATCTGCGGGTGATCAGTGAGAAATGTCGGATTCATACAGTCAGGCTCGATGAGCGCACCAGCCAACTAAATAAGAACGCAATATAAATACGTAAAAGTTAAGCAAATACGTTCGCTCACCTTGTCAAGTAGTCGCGCGGTGGTTCTCGGTGGCGGGCATTCGATTTCGTGTTGTTGGCAGATTTTGTCAAGAAACTCACGGCTCTCTAAATGATAACGCAGGTAGAAGATCGATTTTATCAGAAATTTAACGTCCTTACGATACAGCATAGATTTTACACAACAGCTAAACCAAAGAAATACTTAGTTATTATCGTAGAATAGGACGTACATATTGTAACCGCTAATCATCACAGTAAGTTTTTAAGACAGTAACAGCTTCTGATAAGAACAACTCTACAGTAACAAATGTAGTACAAACCGTTACTACATTCACGCAGTTCCGGTCTGTAGCTCAGAAATATTATCGCTTGACGCATCACGTCGAAACTAGTGCGTAAAAATAAGTAAGATGGCAAGTTATTAAATAAGTATGCAGCTCAAAATTAACCGCAGACTTATGGATTTACTAGCAAAGTGCTAGTATTCGATACCACCGGTAAGAATAACACTGTCCTTCTCAGGATTACACAGTGTAAGGTACTGTTACTTTGCTGGCAGTAATCTCGGAGACCGCTTACGCAGGCCACGGCTGCACAGCACTGGCAGAAAAACAACATCGCTTTGCTGGGTCAAATAAACAAAAACATGTTCGAACACCTACAGAAAATAAATCGATTCGTAGGCACGTAAAATATATTTTCTGTTTGACAGAACAAAACGGTGCTATTTTTATGCCCATCCGAAAGCTAAAATCCTTCCATGCGTTTCGACGTTATACGCTAACGTCGTCCGAGTAAATATATACAATGATCATTTTACAAGTTAAAACGTGAATCTGAATGACAGAATGAATTGCTTTAACGACCTTTACAAAATTACGCCATTAATCGAAACTACGTTATTAACGTAAGGTCAAAAGTTCAAGTATCCTTTTCTTATACTGCTTGAATTTTAAGCTCGTAAAAAAGGCAACGGACACTGACGGAAAGAAACTGAGTGGTATATGGAAGTTAAAACAACACGTGCCAACTGCTACGCTGGTACAATAGCCACATGTGCCGAAATGACTGAGAATCCAGTATGGCAAAGCGATAAAACTATTACTTCTTTTGTGAAGAAACTTTCTTTGCCTTCCGCTCACCACTTAAACGTTTTTCATTTATATCCGGAACATCAGACTTGAAAGAGACTGACAGACATGAATTTCGATGCTGAAATGTTCCTCAGAAATTTGAAACGAAACTGTTGAAGCATTAGCACACGAGACACGAATAATTGCCATACACACTCTATGCAATAAAAATCACCGTTCAACGAGAAATCCGAATTCACTAAACTGCTTCTCCTGTCACCGTTTTTCGATTTAGAGGACTTGTCCGATTCGAGACAAAGCCACATTTTATAGAAAAAGCAATAACAGAGATTTAAAGCGAAAAAATACCTTCGGTAGCAAGCTGATCAGCCGGAGGTAGTGTTACTTTAAGTTTCTTTCCCAAAGCTTCATAAAATGATATTCGTGAATATGGAGGGGTAAAATCGATTACTTTCACTTCACCGTCTGGACCAGTTGGATGATACTCGATTCGGTAAGAACCCCGTATATGCTTGACCATGCCTTAAAAGAAACATTCAGCGTACAATCATAGCAGGTGTCATCATACCTGACACTAAATCCTCAGTGATTTTCATCAGATCATTATAGTCAGCATAAGCCATATAAAATTCTACCGAGGTGAATTCAGGATTGTGCGTCAAGTCAATACCCTCATTACGGAACTGACGCCCTAGTTCGTAAACTCGGTCGATTCCTCCAACGATTAGCATCTAAATTAATATATGAATTGAAAGGCGAAACCGACTTGTATTGACGCATATCATCATATAAATCGTTTTAATTCAGGAAATGCATCCATTTCCAGATGTCTAATCTCATGAATAAGATTAGCAACCTTCTTAACTACATTTGGCTAACTAGCAAAGGGTAAGTAATTTACGCCACAACTAAACTATATAAGCGACATAGACTACTTCAAAATGATCATACACGCGGTCCTACCAAAATGCAAAGAAGTAAGCGCCGCGATGTTAGACAATGTACTGAAGCGAATTCCGTACAGGGGTAACACTGCATAGTTTGTTTTAGCGCAGCTTTTCTGACTCACCGAAGTGGGTGTTCACACGATTTAAAGTAAGAATTTCGCTTAAATTGTTCGTCAAAAACTTGAAGCAAAGACAACTAATAAATTCCAGCGTAATGAACTTCTATTACACTGACGGTAACACTGACGGCAGTTCCTTACGTCCTGTAATACAGTAGAGTCTAAGAAACTTTTCTCACTACAAACAGAGAAACAGTTTACAGGAAAAACATTTATCCATTTGGGAAGAAAGTATGATGAAGTCTTTCGTTCATAAAATCTATACTGAACAGAGTGCGATCACTCACGGAATCGATCAAAAACAATACAATCGCTCACGTTGCATAGACAAAATATACGAAATCCGGAATAACAAAGTTACCAAAACTAGTACATCATGTTCTCATTTCTCGGAACGGACGTTTACATAGACAGTTCAGTCGTTTGATCAGAAATCACTCAGCATCAAAATAGTAAATGACACTAATTTAAATTTATGGAGCTACTTTATAAATCTCAGCTCATGTCTGCAACGATTACGCAACAATGACTAAGCAATTATATTTTAATTAGTCCACGAAAAGATTAAATTTTGTTACTTCACAACGTCTCGCGGCTATCGGAAAAGATGACAGAATGGCAGGACAAATTTTAAATTAAAATAAGTGTTGTGAACACTAGTAAGACAACTTTTCATCCCAAAAATCTATAAATAAACCGGCTCATATATCTGACATTTTAAACGTTAAAGTAAATATGCATAAGAAATATGTTAATAGCTGTTTACATCTCCGTTCGATTTTACGCATGGAAGACAGCCGCACAGTCGCTTACCATCATACAACGCTTGTCCACCTCACTGCTACACCGAAAGAACGTTGCTGATCATCGATAAAACAATCGGAATAAAATTCACAGGGAATGATAGCAAGGCTACGAAATATATGACCATCACATACTGTTTAACATAACCTAAAAAAGTGTCGTTCTAACAAACATGCAACATCAACCTCTAAGCGTACTCAAACATCAAGGAAGGAAAAAAGAGGACAATCTATCTATGGGGAAAATAAATGTTCTTCTCAAAACGAGGAGTACACAAGGATGCGCTATAAGGCAGAAAAAGAGTAAGCGGCGCAGTTCAGTTACTTTCAGGTAAAGTTCGGGTGAAATGCGCAAGTACAGGTCCATGTCCAATTCATTGTGGTGCGTAACGAAGGGTTTTGCAATTGCGCCGCCAGCGATCATGTTCATCATCGGAGTTTCTACCTAAAGCATGAAGGTCGCGGTTGTAGCGAGCAAACCATTGCTGGACTCAGTGTTTCCGCAGTCAGTACCTCCAAGAAACCTAACTTATCCAAGTACGTCCGGATGTAGTTGTTCATTTTGGCGCGAACGAAAAATTTCTTTTTAACGTGTTCGTTGAGCATCAGGTCCAAGTAACGCATGCGGTAACGGGTTTCCGTGTTCTTGAGACCGAAATGCAGATGCGGCAGCATATGCAAACACGGCGTTAACAGCAGCAACTGCTGAGCTATGATGCTTAGTTCGCCTTTTTTCGTTCGACCTAAACAAAAGTTATGGCTAAGTCTTCAGCATTCATAGGTAGGGTATCAGTACCGACATCTCAAACTAACCTGAACATGACAATGGTGGGAATGACGAAAACCGACTACGAAACAGTGGCTAATATCAGCTGCGCTACAGTGAAACAATCGAAGCGAAACAGCAGTACTTAACTTAATCAACGCAGCCTCAAGGTCAATGGTCAGTAAGCAAGCCACTGACTAGGCGAGATATACAAAATGTGTTCCTCCATCGCAAGTAGCGGAAACGCTGAGTCAAAACGACACCGGTTGAAAGATGTTATCGTGCAGTATTCTTCGTGTGAATTTGAAGAATTTAGAAATAGAAACGCACAGTATGTCAAACGGTTGGCAACAAACGCTGAGCCGAGTTTAAACTAAATTTCAAATTTTTATGATACTGCCCTTACCTCAGAGAATACAGTAGGGAAAACTGAGAATCACTGTGACATCTAGTTTAATCAGAAGCAAAATATCATCATTTTGTAATGATAAGGAAAAATAAACGCTATCCAGGATCTCACTTTGATGGTTATCTGCAATGAAATCTTAAGATTGTTCGTCTCACGATAGTAGTCACCACCCGCCATATATAAAAACAGAACTTTTCCAATTAAATTCTGTCAGTGTTTAGACAATTCGGAACCTCTTAAGCCACACGTTAAGAACTTAGCCGATTTCATCAGAGAAATTGGCGAATCACTTTAAGGACGATAATCGTAAGCTACAGTGCTAGTATATTTGTTGAAAAGCATACCAAATAACGAAACATTCAAAATTGTTAAACCCAGGTTCACAGCAGAAGATCAGAAATACACACCAGAAATAAACCATTAAGCGACTGCGACGCTCGATCACTTGCAGCGCTGACCCTCTACACTAGCAAATAAAAACGGCACCCGCACAAAGTCCGATTTCACAACCATAGTAGAAATATTCCTGGAATGTCTCGAAACGGTTGACGTAAAGCCCTAGACACCGTGGTAGAGTTCAAGTGCACAAATTAGCCGTTGTGGAAAAAGCGTTTGATTTGCTCAGAGAAGTAACGCACAGAAATGGCTATCATAAGTAAATAAGCGCCATAAAACCGTCAATACATCATACAATTAGAGTACTAGTACTACGAATTCCACAAAAGAGAAACGCTTGTACGGTTGACTACGACGGATCTCACCGCACACACGTTAAATTAAGTCAAGTTGTGTCACTTATCTGTCGAACTTCGAATGAGTGTTTGAATCTCCTCAACGCACATATTTATATTTGTAAATACGAAGCTAAAGCAAATCTTAGTTACGCACAAAACTCTGTTGCGCGCCTAGACATGGTCCAGAGTATGGGCAGGAAGAACTCTGATGTACAGCCTCTTGTTCTCCAGATTGAGAAGCCAATGTACGATGGTCTCAACACATCAATCTAATACTCGCAGAAAAGAAGCTGGAAAGGAGAAATTTCCCAACGGACTGGCGAAGACACGTGAGACGACCAAGAGTAACCTGGAACAAGTGTCCAAAAGGACTCTGCTAGAGACTCGGATCATGTTCTGACGAAGCCGAAATGCTAACGCAGGTTGGAGAATGTTGAAAGCTGTCTGACTGGTCCGCATCCGCGACACGAAAGGATAAGCGGTCAAAGAAACTGACCGACTGACTACTAAACTATGTGCACTAACATGATTAAAAATTAATCAACGTCATCATTTCCCCAGCAACGATTGTCATGGCACAGATACCCGTTCACAACGTGGTCCGATGAAAATCTAACTGGTCATTCCTGTCGCAGACAGCGAACGTAGATCAAGCTAAGAGATCGAGTGCCAGTGTTAAACATTGCAAAATTGAATCTTCCCACGAATGAGTGTGCCACAACCAGCTACATGTCTTCATTAAAAGGATGAAATATTTTCATCACTTCGCAGCCTTTCTCTATAAAAGACTGCGGACGTTGTTGGATGCAATATGAAAAATACAAAATCGTACCACTGAAATTACAGACTGTGCTTTGAAATGAGATAAAAGTAAACAGTTTTCTAAAAGCAAATTAGCCCATATGTTGCTGTCAACAACCCGCAAGAAATACCTTGGTCCGCATCTCGGATGATATCCCTTCAAGTGTGTATGTAGCTGCAGACATCGTCGCCCGTCGAACGACAAGATCAGTTGCAGATGACGTTTGTCGTAACGAAGGAACGACAAAGGCTAACAGAAGGCTTCTAATGTGGGGTAAATGTCGAATTATGTCATGTTCACTAAACTGTTTCCTGGGCAATTCTTGAAGCAAGATATGAACGGCGATCTTCCAAAGCCTACATGAGCTACAACAACTCATTTACTTATCATCAGAAAGAACAGAAGCGAAAACTGAAGAAAGTTTGCGAAATACGGATTGAAAATTTTCTTATACGGTTAATAGAATCAAATTTTGCAAAGTTCAGACTTAGTTATTCTTCCGCTATCACTTTGCCAGCGCTGCTGAAAGGTGGACAGTGTAAGGTGTTCAAAAGCGTTGGTTACCTGGCCGACCGCGGCAGCCGATGATATCGCCCCGGCGTAACGAATCGTTAGCACGCGTAAACAGTTCTTCACCACCATCGTACATTCTTGCATTTGCCATCACCTGCAATCGCAAGGATTCTGATCTGATGTCATAGAAGATCAGTTTCTGACCAGACGTTCGTTTAGCGTGCACACGACCTGTAATAGTCGATCAGCCAACAAGTCAAGCAATTAGACAGTACCGGCAACGGACACCACATCGTCAGACATCTCTCCTGCCTTTAGATAGTCGTATTTGGCTATGTAGTCGTGAAACGAGATGTCCACGTGAAACTTATGCGGGTACGGATCGATGTTTTGCTTTCGAAGTAGCTCGAGGGCGTTGAGGCGCAGTTTATAGTACTCCTGAATCACCAACATTTTAAACCTACAGAAACATCTGATGTGACAAATAAATACATTCGGATCGATCGTCTCTTCGGCTGCCGCCGAATCTACCGTTCCACCGTACGCGGATTCCTTTTTCTCCAACTGCGCTTCCTCCACCGGTATTTTCTCCTTCAATTTCATTTGCTGCTTCTGCTGCCGCTTGAGTGCACTAAATCAGAAGGACTAAAATATGACAATGCCGGATTTTGTGGAGATACAGG